TTTCATACCTTCATTCCATTTGCATGATAGTGTGAGTCAAACAAAGATACATGAGAGATAGAAGAATTTTTTTATAATTATTGATTACACTTAGCTTTACCATAAGCTTCTAATAATGTAATGCATCTATATATAATAATTAGCTACTTCATGCATTTTTTTTACAGTTGATGGAAAAGGGTCTTTTTTCGCTTCTGAATAGATTCTTCATATTTCATCATATGGCATATCTGCTTTAGCATCAAAACCACACTTTTTTAAGAAGAATTTGAGCGAATCTTCCTTTTTTACTTCAACCTTAGGAAAATATTTTTTTAGACACACTCAAAAATCAATTGGTACGCATCCTGGCGATTTAAGAAAACTAGAATAAAAATCATTATCCGCAGTAATTTTGATCTTAATTAAACTTTCTAAATATTTTTTCTTTTCCTCTACTTTCTCACTTGACCCTTATATGATCCTTTCTTCATTGAAATTAATTTTCTTGCCTTTCTTATTAAAATTATTTTCAGATTTTGTTTCTATCTTTTCACGATATTTTCACTTTATAATTTCTTCTTTTGTTTCAAACTTTCCTGTTATTTGCTCTTACATCTATTTGAGTATATTGAGATGATATAAAGGCTAAACTATTAAAATTACCTTACAGAACCCCACCAACCAAAATTGAGATTTTTGATTTATATTATTATATGATATATAAACTTTATTTGGTTAAGTTTTTATAGTCAATTATCTTATTAACAAAGTAAGCAATTAGGCCGTCAAAATTTCTCATTTTTGTATAATATTAATCAAAAAATCTAAAATTAGATTTTAGAAATGATCGACATAAAATTTGGAAATGATTCACATTATTATTTAAAAGTTAAAAAAGTTTCGGATCTTTATAAAATTCAAAATTTTTTAAATTTAATTAAAACCATTATTAATAGTTTAAATGTGTATTTAAATGAGAGGTCTAGAAGGCAATTAATACTTCAGCAAATATTTTTTTTTAAAAAAAAATAAAAAATAATTTTTTAATATATAAACTTTTTTTTAATAAATTAATATAACAAATATCCCGTTAATAGTAAAATTTTAAGTGATATGACATTGATTTCAAGTTTTACAAAAATTAGTACTGTAAAATAATTTTAAATAATAAATTTTATATATTTTATTATAGCAAAATTTTAAATATTACAAATAACAATTTAATAGTAAAAATTTTATATAATAAATTTTAGTATTGTCTTAATAATTAATTTGACTTAATATTTAAAAATAGAATAATTTATTATTAATTAAAAATATTTACTGTGGCGTAGTATTTTTTTAATCATCATTTACTTAAAATCAATTTCTTATCTTGTAAGGTGATTTTAATAGTTTAGACCCCATATGCTCTCTCTATAATAAAACGCCAATCATAGTTAGAATCATTAAATTCAACTTGGATATCAGGTGTAAATACTTGCCAGCAGAAGGCAAACACTTTTAGCAGATTTTCTTAGTTTTCATATACAATTGTGATCTAACATAGGTCTGATTCTGTCGCAACATCGATAAGACATATTTGCTTTAGTAGCTTTGGATCATCTTTTTAATGCAATATTATGCAAATCATAAAAACGTTATGATTCAGATCAAAAACTTCAGCAAATTCATTCAACTCTCATGATTGCGTCTCTATATCCCACGTGAGAACAAGAGTATAGTCCTGTAAAAGAGCTAAAATAGAAAATCGGTCACTTATTATTCTAAATCCTCTAATGAATAGAAATCTTTTATAGACACATAGAATTTGTGTGAACAGAGTGAACTGATCCGCTTGCCTTTCTTATGTATATATTTGTTTAATGTAGACCACCCAGAAAGTTGGATTCCATTTTCTCAAGCCACTTTTTAATGAAATGAGTATAAATCATCTGTAGTTTTAAAATTATTTTCTTGGATAGCTTGGATGGCTTTCTTTCTTCTTCCAGTACTATTTGTATAAATTCATAAATATGTATTTTTTTTTATATAGTATTTACAGAAAGAGAATGCTTTAATATGCTTTATTTTATAAGATTTCATAATGCTAGAGAGAATTTCGCTCACTTTTTCTTTGCATTCATCTGAAGTCACTTTGTCTAGTACAAGAATGTCAAAAAAACTTGAATTCTTATAAGAGTTACCAGTATCTTTTGACCATTAATAAGGCGACCATAAAGACGCAATACATTATAATACATTCCTTTTATTTTTTCTGATGACCCTTCACTATCAATAGCCATGAATAGAATTTTTTGACAACTGGATAAAGCATCGTCAAGGATTGTGATTAATCCTTTATCATTTCTTATATCATTCAGAGTTAGAATACTTAACAAGTATTTTTTACCAGAATAGCAAATTATCTGACCTTTCATTTTATCTTTTTCAGCCTCTGGATGAAAAAGGGTAAGTGCGTTAAGGAACTCTAAAAGCTCAAATTGGGTCATTTTTTTCTCAAATAATTTAAGATAATTTATAGTTATACTAAAACTTGAAGTATATTATTCGCAAGAAAAAAGTTTAAAATGAAAATAATTTTCTTACATTATTAATAGATATATACAAATGGAAGGTGAAAAAAAGGAGACGCAATTTTAGAAGGATCTATCCTAAAATTTTTATTATTATCCATATATTCTTAGAATTAGAAAAGAGTGCAATCGGAGATGCTATGATCTAAAGAAATGTAAAATCTATCAGAATTCTAGGCAAATTTCTTGTAAAGAATGCAGTGAGTAGTAGGCAATTTAGAGGTAAACAAAAATAATACAATTTATTACTAGTGTTACAGAAAAAAAAAGCTCATAAAAGAACTAGTGATACAGACGATAGACTCTTTAGGAATTTTAGGCTAAAAGAAAGTTTTCTTGATGAATGTCACTGGTGACACTATTGTCACTGGAAAAAATCTGAATTTCTTAACTTTTTTTTATTTTTTAGCATATATATATCATATATATATCATAGATTCATCATATTATATCCCATATAGATCATAAATATAACATAAAAAAATTTCAATTTTTTTCCTAAAAATTACTACTTTTTACTAGTGATATTAGTAACACTAATTAAGAAAGAAATAAAATAATAATAATCTTAAGAAAGATAGCAAACCCATCACTAATTCTATCATCAGTTAGTATTCAGAACTAGTGACATTAGTAACACTAATCAAGAAAGAAATAAAATAACCTAATGCACAGTTTTTTATATTTTATATTTCGAATTCTCTGACCTGTGAGTCAGTGAAAGTTACGTGACTGGCACAGTAAAGCACAGTATAAAATCAGCCAGTATTATTTTACAATTTTAGCCAACACATAAATTTGATCAGATCCTTAAACATAATAACTCAGCATTCAAGCTAGTATACAAGTGGTCTAAAATTGGTAAAATAATAAAATCTCTCTAACTCCTTACTAGTTCTCTAATAGTTCTATGATAGTTCTATAACACTACCATAACATTATTAAGTTACTATTATAGCATTGAGCTAGATTCTCAAATCACATATCCAAAAGATTAGCTAAAATTATGGTATAGTGCTGGCCAAAATTAATTGCAGATTTATTGCGTCATTTGACACAATATTTTTTTACCACAATTTAACATTTAACAGGCAATCAAACAAGTGCAAAGGATAAGCATCTCAATATAGAATCTAGCATCCAATCAGATGTAGAAAGTCAGCACTCTCATTATAGAACTAGGCATTTAAAGAAACTGGAAAGCCAGAACTAATAATATATGTAAACGAATTAGGAACAAGAAGAAAACAGTCACTATTAGATCATAACATCACCATTAAATTAAAATACTACCAGTCACCATTAGACTATAAAGTTACTACCATTTTATACAGGAAACAGATGAATAATGCTATAAACGTAAAGGAGCTACCCATATGTAGGTTATGAAGTCATTATTAGAGTATGAATAGTAGGTTATAAAGTTGTCACCAGATCATGAAATTAGATTATGATATCACTGTTATATTATGAAGTTACTATTATATTATGAAGTTACTAATAGACTATGAAGCTATCGTTATATTATGAAGTTACCATTATATTATGAAGTCACCGGTAGACTATAAAATTACCATTATATTATGAAACCACCAATAGACTATAAAGTTGCCTTCATAACCTAGGCTAAGTCGCATGTGACTTCATAATATAATTATATTGAAATCACATATGACTGCATTTATGAATTTGTTTATCTTATTAGATTGAATAAATAAAAGTAAAACTCATTTTATTTTTATATATTTTGGTAAACATTTATAACCTAAGAAAATTTTAAGATAAATCTGACTTAATTATTTTAAATTATGAATTTTTGATAAGATCTCTATATGGAAATCATCTAAATAAGATTAATACAGATTTGATTAACCTTTATTATTTATTTTGACTGCATTATCATAATTTTTTATCAATTAGAAAGTTTAAAATTCAAATAGTTACAATATTACTATTATTTTTAAAGAATTGTGATATTATAAAAAAAATAAATGATGTTTTTTATGAAATTCTAAGTATATTTGTTATAGCACATAAGACATAATAAAATCTATAATAAGAGGATCAGATATTGATATAGGTATTTGAAAAAGTTGAAGGCATTCCATAAAAAAGGCATTGTATTTTAAGATTAATAGTATATTGTTGAGACTGAATAAGAATTTTAATTTTGTTATCATCATCAATAGTTTTGAATACAAATTCCTTATATTAAAATCATTTCTATTAACCTACTTTATATTAATTAATTAAGTAATATTATATAATATTGAAACAAGTTCTAAGTCCTCACTCTGTATCCTTTTAATTATGCAAAAATGACATACCTGTTAAAAATAAAAATTATAAAAATGATAAAGAAACTAATCCAAAGAAATTATCTCTTCGTATTTATTACTTACTTTTAGTTTTGAAATAATTGTATCAATTTCATGTCACCTGTCACAACTCGTCCCTAACATCCCTAACTTCACTAACAACGCAACATTGAGTCAGCCAGTCTCAAGCAAAAGACGATTCCACGTGCAGGGACAGCTACTTACCATAGCTCTTTGGCCAATTCATCTAGTACATCATACTGCTCTTGCGTCTCCACATGGAATTTACAATACTCGTTATGGGTGAGTTGGTTGCCACTAAGCAGCATGAAAGCGGCGATAACTGTACCCGTCCTGCCGTGCCCATATCCGCAGTACACAAGGGTCGTCCTCTGAGCCGGAAAGTATGAATCGTATGCCTGGCGTAACTGATAAATTGTTGGAGCAGTGTAGTCTGCAACCGGTAGGTGGAGGTAGTTAATGCCACGTTCCTTCAATCTCCCGATAACGTCGTCAGTTAGGCGGAATTGGTTCAGGCTGATAACATTGTTGATGCCATGGTCAACGAGGTACTGAATAGCATCATCATCCATATTCTGACTCCCATCATTGCCGGTGTAGTGAGGCGTAGAGCTGCGCGCCAGCCGGTTGGATATCACCCATTCGAAACGTCTGAATGCTGGGTCACACTATTCAGTAATACAAGTTTCGTCAATAAACTGTCTAGCAATCGAAAGCTTAATACCCTAAGTAGCAAAAAATGAGCAGGGTATCTTACTGACGTAGCCATCTCGAGAAATTGTAGAGATCAACTTTGTTGATTTTTGAGTTGATGTGAATTTTATAGTCGGAAAATTTTTGCCGAAATAATAGGCCGTGTAACTTAAGATTGTCGCACAAAAATTTTCTACTGCTTTCCTTTTTATGGAAATAATTAGCTTTAAAGCCGATGATCATCGTCCCTGAACTTGAAGTTTTTTCTTCAAGTATTTATGGAGCTTACTTTAATAAATAAAATTCACACGTTACCGTATAGCGCTGACATTAGTACCCCCTTTGCAAAATATCCCCTTGAATAGTAACGGATACTATTCAATCACCAAAAATAAAATTTTTGATTAATACCGGGGTACTAATAAATCAACCAATTAAATTGATCAACATGCCGATCAAATTTATCGCAACGATGTCGATCAATTTGATCGATTGTAATATATTAAACATAAAAACAAAATTTATTATTATATTTTATACTTTATCAATATTAAATGTCATTATTTATTAAGTATACATGATTATTATTTAA